GACTAGCGGGGTCCCTGCATTTGTACTTAATGGAAAGGGAGTCGGGCAGTATTTACTCTCCCATGTGGCTCCGTTGCCTTCATTCTCTCCCAAGGTGGCCTGGGAGTTAATGCGATGACGGCTGTGAGTGGTAGCTGTTGTTACCGGTGTTGTCATCGTCATCGTTGGCAGTGGTGTTCGGAAATAAAGATCCTCTAGACCAGTGGTTCTCAACCTTCCTCATGCCGCGACCCTTTAATACAGTTCCTCATGTTGTGGTGACCCCCGACCATAAAATTATTTTCATTGCTACTTCATAACTGTCATTTTGCTACTGTTATGAATCGCCATGTAAATATCTGATATGCAGGATGCATTTTCATTGTTACAAATTGAACATAATTAAAACATAGTGATTAATCACAAAAACAATATGTAATTATATATGTGTTTTCCGATGGTCTTAGGCAACCCCCGTGAAAGGGTCGTTCGATCCCCAAAAGGGTCGTGACCTACAGGTTGAGAACTGCTGCTCTAGACCAAGCGTGTCAAACTCACGGCTGGCGGGCCACATGCCTTGTGTCATAAAGGAGTTTGACATGCTGGCGACACTCCCAGGGAATAGCAGGACTGACTGATGTTTTCTGTGCCTTCAAGGAGCTCTCAGGCTGGTGGGGACGGGAGACAGCTTCAGGGTCCCTACTAGAGGTCTGAAGCAGGGGAAGGCCTCGTCCCCATGTCCCCATTCTAGATCCTGCCTCCCCCTTACTTCCCCTTCCCGCCCTCCATCCCACCCCCTCTCTTCAAGAACTGAGCCTCCTGCCCCTCATCTTCCCCTTCTCCAGAACTCTCCTGCCTTCCCCTCCCGCTTGCCGCCTCCCACAGCCCCAGACTCAGAGAGAGGCCTCGGTGGCCCAGCCTCTCTCCTCTGCCAAACATTTCCACGTGTTGGAGAGTGGCCTTCCTGCTCCTTTTTGCCGCCCTGGCTGCCAGGGCAGAAGGAGTGGGGGCAGGAAGCAGGCAGCTAGGTGACCCTGTGGCTCTGGGGGGACCTCAGTGGGCAGCAGGGCTCAGCCAAGGCTGTGGGAGACTCTGTCTCCCTCATGCCAAGCCCCATGGTGTGAGTGGGGGGACGGGGGGGCAGCAGGGTGAGCCAGGGCCTGGCCATCTTCCAACCCTCCTTCCCTACCTGCAGACATACAACACCAACGCTCAGGTCCCCGACAGCGCGGGCACCGCCACTGCCTACTTGTGTGGGGTGAAGGCCAATGAGGGCACTGTGGGGGTGAGCGCGGCCACCCAGCGCTCCCACTGCAACACCACTCAGGGGAACGAGGTCACCTCCATCCTGCGCTGGGCCAAGGATGCCGGTGAGTGGGGGTTGGGTAGTGGTGGGGAGTGGGGCCTGTGTGGGCCTCAGTCTTCCCAGCTGTACAATGGGGAGAGGGTAGAAAAAGGTGCTCCCAGCTCCAATTCTGAGAGTCTGAACTATTCGTGGGATCCCGCCCAGGACAGGAAGGCTGGTGATTGAGGAGCCCACTCCGCTGTGGGTCCTGGTCCTGGAGCATTTCCCTGAGGCTGTTCATCCTGCTGTAAAATGGGCACGAAAACCTGGCCCCTCAGAGGCTTGTGTGAGGAAGGCCCGGGGCCTAGCCCAGCGCCAGCCCGTGGGGGGTCTGGGAATGTCTCCTCCTCCTTCCTTCTGGAAGCGGGTGGCTCTGGCCTCTGTCCCCAGGAGTTTTAGGGTCAGGGTACGAGACCAGCTGACACAGGTGACACCACCACCTGAGAGCCCGTAGCGGGGCCGCTGTGCTCCTGCAGGCTCCTCAGTGGAGAGGAGGACTCCGCCCAGGTGCTCACAGCTCAAGGGTCCTCCGGGAGGCAGAGTGTCTGAGCTGCCAGAGTACATGGAAGCCACCATCCCCCCGTTAAGTGCTGATGTGGGGACTGAGGCCCAGGCGGTCATGCAACTAACAGGAGGCCAGTCTTTAGCCAGGAGGAGGGAGAGGCAGCCTGGACACCGCCGTCTCCAGGTGAAGCCAACCCCTCCTCTGCCACACCCCAGGGAAATCCGTGGGCATCGTGACCACCACGCGAGTGAACCACGCCACCCCCAGTGCCACCTACGCCCACTCCGCCGACCGGGACTGGTACTCAGACAACGAGATGCCTCCAGAGGCCCTGAGCCAGGGCTGCAAGGACATTGCCTACCAGCTCATGCACAACATCAGGGACATCGAGGCGAGTTCGGGGGGTGTGCAGCCAGTGCAGGGGTCCCCAAGCTGGGAGGCAGGATCTCGGAGGGCGGGGGGGACTGAGGCCTCAGGTACAAGCTGGCACGGGAGAAGCAGCTTGGCCTGGCTCCCCAAACACCTGGGAGGGCTCCCAGCCCATTAGAGGATTTGTGGTCGGGGCAGAGAGGCTCTCCGCGCTGGGGCTGAGGGATAAACCCTGATGTGGCCGCCGCCACACTGAAGAACCAGGCGCCCAGGGATTATTTCGTCAATTGGAGTCTGGCGCTGCACCCCCACAACACAGGGAGGTGCGGGGGGGGGCATCTAAGGGGAGTCTGCCCTGTACATTCCCACGTGCACAAACAGGGATGTGCCCCACAGGCTCATCCAGCATGCTCAGGGACAAGGTGGTCTGGACGGGGATAGCACCAGCTCTCACTTTTAAACCTCTTGGGTTCAAATCCTTGCCCTGTTTGCTAGCTGTGTGACCTTGGGTCAGTTACTTCACCTCTCTGAGCCTTCCCTTTCACCCCCCTTTGTGAAATGTACCCACCGATCAGTAAGCCCGTTGCAAGAAATCAATACAACGGTCCCTGTAGAGGCTGCACAGGGCCTGACACCTAGCGAGAGCTCAGAAAGCGGTGGCGTTTAGGAGTGAGCCACTTGTCCTTGCCCGAAACACAAGCTTTAAAAGCCCGAGCGGGTGTGTGAACGCTTGCCCCCCGGGCATGTCCAGAGGGGTCCCCACTCTCTCTCCCTAAATGAGGACTTCCGGCTTGTTCCTTTCTCAGTGGGGATCGGGTGGGGGATCAACGGGACTTTGGCCCCCCGAGCCTCGCAGGGGTTCAGTGAGGCTCAGTGAGCCCTGGGTCCCGCCTCCCCCTCACCTCTGTTTCTAACCTTACCAGACAAACTCGCTGGCTCCCTGACCCACCTCTGCCCCCCATGGAATCCCCCCAGTTTCAAAGTGCCACCCCAGCCTCTGTACCAGCCCATGCCCTCCCTCTTCCTAGCGATGGATTAACACCCTTTCAGGACAAACTGTCCTGCTGACCCGTTTAGTGAGCATATATCCAAGGCAAGGGCGCCATCCTGACTTGTGTCCTGGGACAAGTCACTTCTCCCACCTGACTCAGTTTCCCCACCTGTACAAGAATAGAGAGCCCGCTTGCCCCCCTCCTAGGGCCACTGGAGGCCGAGATGAGGTCATGATGTGAGAACATTTGTTGTACAAGCACAGGGTATAATTATGGGACTGCTCTTTAGAGAGATTTGGCAGGAACAGCCTGAGAGGGGACCGGAGTTTAAGGGAAGATTTCTCCAGTGGGGGTGAGGGGTGGATTGAGGGGGGGTCCCCGGGAGCCACTGGGGGATGAGCATGGGTGACAGTGAGGAGGGAGGGCCGGGCGAGTCCTGCCCCTCCTCCCTTGCCTCCCTGTCTCCTCATCCTTTTCTCTCCCATCGGCCCTGCATCACCGCCACCCCAAAGCCCCCGGCCCCCAGGCTGCACATGAAACAAAAATCCTGGTGTCCGCCCTGAAAATAAATATCTTTTGCTAAAAAAACAACAAAAAAAGAAAGACACAAACCCAAACCCCAAAGCAAACAGCAAGTCTGTTATTTGGGAGTTTAATGAGCCCGTGTGAAGTCTCTGCCGGGGCTGGAAATGAGGAGGCTCCGGGCACGAAGATTGGGGGCTTCGTTTCCACTCTGCAGATGCCAAGGGGTCAGGTTCTGTGGGAAGGGGGGGGGCGGGGCAAGGGGTCAGTGACCCGGGGCCCCTTCTCCTCCTCCTCTCACAGCCTGCCCCACCCCCAGAGAATGTGCCCCTATGGAAACCGTGACCTCTAATTCCTGGCAGTGGGAACACCCTGGCGGAGGCCACCCCTGGGTGCCTGCAGCCCTCCTGTGACGGTCCCGTGGGTGGGAGTTATTTCAATTTTATAGGTAAGGAAACGGAGGCTCAGAGAGGAGAAGTGACGGGCTCTTGGTCAAGAAGGGGCAGAGTCAGGATTCAAAGCCGTGTCCCCACCAGTTCCCCATGATCCCGGCTGGCCCTGGGGCGCCCTGCCCACCTGGACCGCCCCGCACAACCTGGGTCCAGGGAGGCAAACGGAGCGGAAGGTAGAGGAGGGCCTTGATATGCCAGCCGGCCCTGCTCCCCGAGGTGTCAGCCAGGGGCGGCGGCCTGGGCTGACGCCTGTGGTGGCAGGACACCGGTGTGGTGGTGACTGTGGGCGGCAGCTGTTATGCTCTTGGCCCCGTTTTAAAAATAGTCAGGACTTCAAACATGGACTCCCAAGGAAAACAAACAGTCCCGCGTCCTCCGGCAGCGGTGGGTAAAATTAGCCTGGCGGTGACTCCGCAGACGGCAGCCCTGGCCCGCTGTTTGCCCAGCGCCCAGCTGGGCTGCCCCAAGACCTCCCTGGCGAGGCCTGGGCCTGCGGGCACCTCGCCTCTCGCTGTGGGGAGAGGAAGCAGCTCTTGGAGGCTCCATCGTGGGCTCTGCGGACACCGCGGGGCCCCGGTGCCAGGGTCAGAAGGAGGCTCGGGTTCGAATCCTGACTCTGCCCTTGCTGGCTGTGTGGCCTGGGGGAAAAGACATCCGATTTCTGCGGCCATGTCCTTATGGGGAAAGTGAGTGCAGCACACGTCTCCCTGGCGGCCTGGGGTGAAGTCGAGTGGAGGATGTGTCGGGAGCGCCCAGACCCTGACACGGGCAGCGCTGAGCAGCGGCACTGTTTGCACCCAAGGGGCAGTTCTGTCAGGCGCCTGGGAAGCAAGTGCGGGCGGGTACCCGCAGCTCCGACATGTCTCCATCCCGTAGACTCACTGGCCTCCCCCACCTGGAAAAGGGAGGCCCCGGAGAGCAGCACAGACTGACCCAGGACTCTCGGCTGGAGAGGCACCCACACCCCAACCCTCCAGGCGGGGGCTGCTGGGGCTGCCCGACGACTTGGAACCCCAGGGTACTGATGGCTCTTGTCCCCTTTAGGTGATCATGGGGGGTGGCCGGAAGTACATGTTCCCCAAGAATAGAACCGACGTGGAGTATGAGCTAGACGAGAAGGCCAGGGGCACGAGGCTGGACGGCCTGAACCTCATCGACATCTGGAAGAGCTTCAAGCCCAGACATAAGGTAGCCGTTCAGGGACCTGGTGCGGGGTGGCCTGCGGTGGGGCCGGGGCTGGGTGGTCATACTTCTTACCTCAGCGGGCTCAAATGGCCTAACAGATACATGAATGGCACATAGTAGGTAATCAATTCCTTCCTTCGGGGGAGGGCAATGGGAGACCTAGACAGCAGGAAGGGGGTGGGCCAAGGAATAGCCTACATGGACATTCAGTCCCTGAGCCCCTACTGTGTGCAGGGCTCCTACTGTGTGCAGGGCCCCTAGCTGGCATGAGGTCCAATGATGGATCGGATGGTCAAGGAAACGTGGAGCCCTGTATGCGCGCATGGTGGATGCCCAGGACCTACTGGAGCCCAGAGGGGACAGGCCACAGGGAGGGGCCGAGGCCTGACCATGGGGAGGCAGGGAGGAGGCAGCTTTGGGAGGTCTTGCAGGCAGAGGCAACAGGGCGTGAGGTGGAAGCCCTCCACAGGGAGCTGGCTCTGGCCAGGGCGAGGGCACGTGCTGGGGAAGCGAGGCTGGAACGTGGGAAGGACCAGGCTCTGGCTCCTGGAGCGGTTGTGGCCTTTGTAATCTGTGTGCTGGCCGCTGGGCCCGGGGCAGCTGGGGTCTGGATGACTGTGGTCAGGGCTGAAGACAGTGGGGAGCAGCCTGGCAGCCACTTTGATGTCACTCTGGGGTTGGGTTTCTGAGGGTTCCAGGACTGGCCCCAGGGGAGGCCTTGTGGGCTGGGGCTGGGCCAAGAGTGAGCCGGGGGCAGGGGCTGGGGAATGAGCCCCGTGGGGCTGGTGAGCTGCTTTGAACCTTTCCCATTCCTTCTGAGTCAGCTCGGGCTGGGCCAGAGCCACTCCCCGCCCAGGCCAGCAAGACAGCACGCTTCCCAGCCTCAATTTCTCTACCTGGGACATAGGACCAGAGCTTAATTCTTGCATAGGCGGGGAGCTCCAAGGAGCTCAGTCTAGACCCCCAGAGGGAGGGAGAGGGCCCACAGACTGGCCCAGGCAGGGCATCACTGTGGGCTCCCAGAGAGGCCATACATTCATTACGAACCATGCCTTAAGAGTAGGTTCTAGAGTGTCTTCACCACCGAAAAGCTATGTCATCTGTGTGTCTCAGTTTCCTCATCTGTAAAATGGGCATAATAATCCCAACCTTACAGGGCCGATGTGGGGTTTAATGAGGTGACACACCTCAGGGAAGCAGAGGACAGGATGGGAGTGGGGGAACAGAGCCCCACTGTCTGAGCCACAGTAGCCTCCTTCCCGTAATAACCCCTGAGGTTTGAAAACCCCTGAGCCTAATGCCATTGCCCAGAGAAGGCAAAGGACACTCCCCAGGACTCACAGCTTGATTCCTGGCAGTGCTGGGACCCCCCAGTCCAGGCCCTGAATGCTGCCACCTCCAGGCAAGCCAACCAGCCTCTTCCTGTGGCCTTTGTGCCCTGGATCCAGCACATAGGGGGTCCCCAGGACAGAGCTAGGGCTTCACTTCCCCCCTGGCTCTCCATGGCCCAAGGAACACAGCTCATACCTCTCAGTGGGCACTCAAGACTCCTTGTGACCTATGCCTGCCTCTTCTTTGCCCCATGTTCCTCTACTTAGAACTCAACCCCCTGACCCCAGGCTGATCAATTTCTACTTGTCCTCCAGGGCCTCATTAAGACATCACCTCCACCAGGAAGCCCTCCGAGATCTCACCTTTGGGCTCACAGTGTTCCCTGGTCTCTCAGAACTCTTCCCCTACATTAGACTTACCTATTTATTTGTCATTTCTTGAGGGTAGGGATGGTCTGTCCTCAGGGAAGGATTGTTAAAGGATGAAAGGAAACAAATACATGCCCCAGACTCGGGGACCAGCTGGGGTCAGTCCCTCCCGCTCCCCCAGCCCCAGCATGACTGACAGGCCCTTCCTCCTAGCACTCTCACTACGTCTGGAACCGCACCGAACTCCTGGCCCTCAACCCCAGCACCGTGGACTACCTCTTAGGTAAGGGGGCCGGGGGTTGGAGTGGTGGATGCCTGGCTGGGTGCCCTGGGGCCAGAGCTATGTGACCCAGAACCTGGGGGTGAGGTCCCAGCCTGCCTCCCCTACTTAGGGACCTTTGCCCTCAGGCTCCAGGGCCTGGGAGGGGTGAGGAAGGGGTTCTGGTTCATAGAATTTCGGCCCCAAATCTGCTGGCTGTGCAGGGTGAATAGCACATTGAGCACAAAGGGACACTGAAGGTCAGAGAAGGGACGTGACCTCTGGCACGCCACCCGGCCGATTAGAGTGTGGCCCAGGTAAGTCAGAGCTGAGGCAAACAAGGCCCGGGCTGTGGAGCAGGGGCCTGCAGCCAGCCCTGCTGTGCGGCCAGGGCGGAAGCCAGCCTGGCTGTCTCTGCTGGTCTTGACGGGGAGCTTTCAGGTGATCGCAACCTCGTGAGAGACCCAGCCACGCGGCTCCTAATGCCTGACCCAAAGAAACAGCACGTGCAATAACAATTTACTCTTATTTTAGACGGTTCAGTTTTGGGATAGTTTGATACACAGCAACCGATAACCTAGACCAGTGATGGCGAACCTTTTGAGCTCAGCGTGTCAGCATTTTGAAAAACCCTAACTTCACTCTGGTGCCGTGTCACATATAGAAATTTTTTGATATTTCAACCATAGTAAAAGAAAGGCTTATATTTTTGATATTTATTTTATATATTTCAATGCCATTCAACAAAGAAAAATCAACCAAAAAAATGAGTTCACGTGTCACCTCTGACACGCGGGTCATAGGTTCGCCATCACTGACCTATACAGTACATGAGCTCATTTACTCCTCATGACAACCCTGAGGTAGGCCCTATCATTATCTCCATTTTATAGAATTATTCCTACTTTTAGAAGAGAAATCACCTGCTCAAGGTTGCACAGCTCATCGGTGGTGGGATCTGGATTTGAACCCAGCTCTCTGCTCTAAGCTCCATGAGCGGCACTGTCTTGCTCCGTGAGTGCATCCACAGCTCCACACAGCCTGTGTGTGGTAGAGTCTGTGCCATGTGGCCCAGGCAAGCAGAGGGCCGTGTGTATGTGGGGGACCCTCCAGGCGCCCAGCTCTGAGCCCATAATCACCAAGGACACACCCAGGACCTGAGGGCTGAGCTCCTTGGGAAAGGTTTGCAGGAGATTTGGCCACCTCTTGCTGGGCACGGTAGCCGATGGGAAAGAGAACTCGGGTGTCTGCATGGTGGTGCTCACGTCTCCTGCCACCTAGCCCAGGGCCCTACCACGGCTCCCTTCTCCCCGGGGAGGAGGGAGCAGACTGGGGTTGGGGCTGCCAAGGCGGCTTGCTCATATGGTTCAGGGTGGGCAGGAGGCTCAGTCCCTTGCCCCATGGACCGTTCCATTGAGCTGCTTGAGAGTCCTCACAGCATGGCGGCTGGCTTCTCCCAGAAACCCAAGAGCATGCAAAGCCGAAGCTGCAGTGTCCTAGGCCCAGACCCGAGAGTCACACACGGCCATTCCTGCAGAATTCTATTGGCTGCACAGGCCAGCCCTAGTCATTGAGGGAGGGGGCCCGCCAGGGCTTACTGGGTGCCATCGTGGAGGCTGGCACCTACCAGCTTCCAAAGCACTTGGAGTGGCACGAGGTACAGAGTGAGCGTTCTGCTACTCGGAACTCTTGTGTGGCTGTACACGCACTCACGGAAGGGCCATGGTTCTGGAAGGATATCCAGAACCTAAGACACCGGCCCGGTACACATGCAGTCTTGTGACATGGACAAGAAATGGATCCTTCCTCACGTCCTACGTGGGGAAACCCAGCTCAGTGCACAGAAGGGACAGTGACCCCAAACCTTCTGTTGTTTGCCTGCGCAGGGCACTGTGCACTTCAAACCTGACCCGTAAGTGGCATGTAAACACACAGTCACGCTGCCCTGTGCAGTCCAGTCCAGGGCACAGTCCTGCCTGAGGGACACGGTGCTGTGTCCGGGGCCCTGCAGGCTGGGAGGTAGGCGGATGGACTTGACTCCCAGCTCTCCTACTCAGCAGCTGGAAATAGCCGTTACTGACCCCCCGAGCCTGTCTCCTCTTTAAATGGACATGGTGACCTCCCTCCACGGTGTGGCCATGAGATGACAGGCGGCAACGCTCCCAAAGCGCCTGGCACACTTTGGGTGCCAAGCGCCATCCGGATGAGCTTCCTTCCCTCCACTTTGCCCCCAAGTTGTGTGTGGGGAACCCGTGCTCCCTGAGACACCGCAGGTTCCTTGGGGACCCGCCTGGCCGGTCATGAAGTCTCACCATCCACCTCCTCCTCAGGCCTCTTTGAGCCGGGGGACATGCAGTACGAGCTGAACAGGAACAACGTGACGGACCCTTCCCTCTCCGAGATGGTGGAGGTTGCCATCAAGACCCTGAGCAAGAACCCCAAAGGCTTCTTCTTGCTGGTGGAAGGTAGGGCTCGGGCCTGACTGCGGGGCCGCTTGCCCGAGAGTGTGTGGGCGCACAGCCCTGAGGTCAGGGGAGAGGGAGGTCCAGCTCGCAAAGGGAACTGTCCGGTTTGGGAGGATGGGGTGTGGGTTGGGGGAGAAAAGGGCAGTGCTGAAGCTCCCAGCCCAACAAGCTGTTCATCACACATACATGTGCACCAGGCTTCCTAGTCCAGGAAGGCTCCCTGGAAGAGGAGGCGGCTTTCTTCCTTCTGGGAGGTCCTCCCTGAGGCCTGGCTCTGGAGGGGTGTGCAGCCCCCGAAGCTTCATCCCTCCCAAAAGACAAACCAGCGGGCCCAGTAGACATCTGCACTCTGAGCAGCTGCCTGAAGGGGCTCGAGGACACAGGCCCAGGGCAGGCCCTGGGATATCCCAGGTCCCCCAGGTTGGGAGAGCCAGACCCTATGGGAGTGAACGGTGCTGTATGTGGCATTCATCGTTTCCCGGGCCATCGCGAGGCCCCGGAGTCGGGCTCGGGCCCTTGTCCTGATGCTGCCCTCCGCTGGCTGAGTGACCTCCACTAGGACATTTCTATTTAACGAGGCCCCACACAGTCCCCCTCTCACAGAAGGGTTATTAGCATCCATTCTGTTCAGAGACATAAAGTCCTTGGAAGAGGGCCCAGCGGAGAATACATCCTCGGTGTTGCTATTATTACGATGGTGATATTTACATACAGGCTAAGTCAATAACAGTAGGAAGCTTGAGGACATGGTAAAGTTCCTGGAATCTCCCAAAGTTCTAACAGCCACAGTCTTCATGTGCACGCACACACGCACACATGCACGCGCACACACACATTTCCACACATACAGACACTCAGACCCTCCGCCCTCCAGAGGCCAGTGGCCGCCAGCCCGGCTTGACCACTTTTTTGCCAAACCCCGGGGTTCCCACTCAAGCATGGCGGTCTCGGTCTCGGCCTGGCCCCGACCAGGCCTCTGACGCCGAGGGCCCAGCCAAGCCCAGCGGCGGGGAGCAGGGGCTCCCCCGGGAGCAGGCTCTTTGTGAGCAGGGCCAGGACCGGCCCGCCAGGCCTGCGGCTCCAAAGCCACAACAAAGGAAGGACCCGCCCTCCCAGCCTGCCAGGCCAGCGTGGTGGGGCCCCGGCCAGCGGCAGGGAGGGTGGCCAGGCCCCAGGCTCAGGACCCTCAGTGTTGGGTGTCCACCAAGGCAGCATCTCCTGGTGGGGGACGAGGAGGCGCTCCCCCAGATCACACAGCCCTTGACTGTGACCTTTAAGCCGGTTTGTGCCAGGCCTCTTGTACTCACTGTGGAGGCAGCATGGGGTGCAGACTTCCACAGGCCTTTCTGGGATCCTGCGTGGGTCCTGCCCGGGCACCGAGGGCTCTCACCACCTTTTAGGACTGCTTCTCACTCAGGGGGGCTGTTCAAAGCGGAGGGGGAGAAGCAGGTGATCTATTCTAGAGAGAGTCACACCTGAGTTCAGATCCCAGCAAACACCACGTGGGGCACGTGACTTCCCCACTCTAGGCCTCAGTAGCTGCATCTGTAAATGGGGCTGATTGTACTAGTCTCTGCCCAGGATTGTTGTGAAGGAGAAACAAGATACCAGCTTGTCATGCCTGGCACCTAGGGGGCACTCAGGCATGTTGGCTCCCTCCCTGCCTCTCCATCGTCTCGGGGACTCCAAGCAGCTGCAGAAGGGGTGCTGGGAGCAGCATGGGGTGGTGGAGGGAGCACAGGCTTGCAGTCAGGCGGATCTGCCTTAAATCCTGGCTTTGCACTCTCCACGTGTGAGCCTTTGGTCCAGCAACTCGCCCCTCTGAGCTGCTGTACAGGCCGAACGGCTGCACGAAAGCCTGGTGTGCCTGGCACGTGGCAGCTCCCCAGCAAAGGAAGATGAACCCGCGGTCGTGCGGTGGAGCTCGGGGCTGCCCCTCTTCCCCTCCCCCTCACCCGAGGCCTTGGCTTTGGTGTCCAAAGGAGGCAGGATTGACCACGGGCACCACGAGGGCAAGGCCAAGCAGGCGTTGCACGAGGCAGTGGAGATGGACCAGGCGATCGGGCTGGCCGGCACCATGACCTCCCTGGATGACACACTGACCGTCGTCACTGCTGACCACTCCCATGTGTTCACCTTTGGCGGGTACACCCCCCGGGGCAACTCTATCTTTGGTAGGTGGGCCTCCAGGGGGGTGGGCATCTGGGAGCAGGAAAGGGTTGGCGAGCCAGCAAACCCAGCGCCTGGCACAGGTGGCACTCATGGGGATTCACTGGTGGTTGGGGGAATGCAGGGTGGAGGACAGAGTGAGGGGAGTGCATGATGGGTGGCCGGCTGCCTAGGTGATGGGTGGATAGAAGAATGAGAGGGAAGATGGATAGATGGATGGGAGGGATGTGGGCACAGTGAAAACGGATGGTTGGTGGGAAGTAAATCAGGTTTGGAAGGTGGCTTCATGGAGGTGGCTCGGGCCCTTCAAAGGGACTGTACCCCCAGTGCTCCAACATGACCCCCGGACCCACGTCTTCCTGTCCAGGTCTGGCCCCCATGTTGAGCGACACGGACAAGAAGCCCTTTACTTCTATCCTGTATGGCAACGGGCCCGGCTACAAGGTGGTGGGCGGTGAGCGAGAGAATGTCTCCATGGTGGACTACGGTGAGAATGCCAAGACGCAGGACTGGGAGGGGGCAGGGCACCCCTCGGGGATGGGCCTGGGAACAGAGTGTAGGCTTGTGGTCAAGGTCCGGGTAACAATATGGTGTCAGGTGGGTGCAGAATTATCGTG